TCTACTTCCCCTCTACCTCCCCTCTACTTCCCCTCTACTTCTCTTCTACTTCCCCTCTACTTCCCCTCTACTGCCCCTCTACTTCTCTTCTACTTCCCCTCTACTTCCCCTCTACTTCCCCTCTACTTCTCTTCTACTTCCCCTCTACTTCCCCTCTACTTCTCTTCTACTTCCCCTCTACTTCTCTTCTACTTCCCCTCTACTTCCCCTCTACTTCTCTTCTACTTCCCCTCTACTTCCCCTCTACTTCCCCTCTACTTCCCCTCTACTTTCCCTCTACTTCTCTTCTACTTCTCTTCTACTTCCCCTCTACTTCTCTTCTGCTTCCCCTCTACTTCCCCTCTACTTCTCTCCTACTTCTCTTCTACCTCTCTTCTACTTCCCCTCTACTTCCCCTCTACTTCCACTCTTCTTCCCCTCTACTTCTCTCTACTTCTCTTCTACTTCTCTTCTACTTCCCCTCTACTTCTCTTCTACTTCCCCTCTACTTCCCCTCTACTTCCCCTCTACTTCTCTCTTCTCTTCTACTTCCCCTCTACTTCTCCTCTTTAAAGGGTAATACTAAGTACTTCCCCTCTACTTCTCTTCTTTAGAGGGTAATACTGAGTAAGCCCCCTCCGCGGGGGGCGCGGAGGGGGCTTACTTAGTATTACCCTTTAAATCGATAATCATGTTGAATGCGCGGCGATCCGCAGGGACCCCCATCATTTGGCAGCCAGTGGGACTATTGATCTACATGATCAATCCTGGGGGGTCTCTATAAGTTTCGGTCCAGTCTTAAAATTTTCAAATTACAATACCCCCAAAGGCTGGTTCTTCACGCTTCAGCGGAGGACCGACCTCTTTCAAATTGGTTCCTTAAGGTTCGTGTCCTAATTACAGCGGATGGCATGCCCTTTGTATGTTCCCTCAAGCCCTCTGACCCGTCACTCAGAGTTATTAAAACCATATATAAGCTACCGTCTTGTAGTCTCGAAACTCAGAGTGCCCGGTAGAAGTTCTACCCGTCAAAAGGTTGGTGGCTTTCGACTTAGTTCTAAGATATCCTAGCCCGTAGTTTCTTACTGTAATTAGAAATGGTGCTTGAGTGAATTGTTTCGATGATAGGTTTCGACTTGCAGGCTCCGAAGAAGGCGATGTTCGCCGAAACGTTAGTCCAATAAAGTATCTGTACAAATCTCGGGAGGCTGAAGAAACATTGAATAACATCTATAGACAAAGTTTCAGCGAAAATTTTTTTTGAGTTCTTGGGGTAGGAATAGTTCAATAGTGCCTAGTTCTCTTTATTGTCATTTTCTTCGTCCCTTTTGCGCTTCTTTTCGTTTGTACCCTCGTGACAGGGGGGTCGTATTAAGACCCTTATTTGGGGGGGGGGGTGTGGGGAGAGGTCGTATTTAGCGGAAAATGATTGCGACGCGATGGCGTGCCCTGATCCAATCTACTGTTCGCACGCGACTCGATCGCACACGCGACTCGATCGCAAAGTCGCCCAGTCGTATCTATGGCGGACCTAAGAAGATATTGCTGTACGTGGAGAACAAGGAATAAGAAACTGTGCGTATTAGTAATGAATCCCGTACGGCAAAAAAAGCAGAATTCTCGCAAAAAACAGAATTTTCCCAAAAGTTTTAGGACGCACTACTAGGAATATTATCAAGAAAGATCACAAAAGTGCTGTGCTATAGGCAAAAATGGGACCACACATGGGGATCTTCCCAAATACCCATTGAGCGAGCGGCCCGATAGTGTACTGGATGAAGTAACGGCCTAGTGAGTTGGACATGCAGTTTTAGGTCCCAGGTCTGAGGTCTGACTTATGCCTATAACTCAGCAACCTTGTGATAACTTCCGGAGCGCGCATTGGGTCTTGAACAGCAGTCATCAAACTGAAGCAATCCGTAAATATCAAAAAAGAGTTCACCACTTTCTCGCACTTTCTCCATCGATACCCGTTAGAAATCATCTGATCACAGGCTAGAGTGGGTCTGATTGAAGAGGTCGCTTATCAGTCACCGTCATTCGATTGATACCAGCGCCAATTCAGCGTGGAACATCGCTGCCAAGAACCGTGAACTCTGTCTCGCTGTTCTTACACAACAGTGGTGGCCTATCTGTTTTAGTTTACCTGCTCCGCTGTCTGTTTCCTTTTGTAAAAGCTCCCGTTCTCCTTACAAAACTCTTACGAAAACTTTATCCTCTCTTGCCTCATTATTCAAAAGTAGATGAGACGTTCATAGTTCCGTTTGCCGCAACAATCAACCAGCTCTTTGTGTTTAAGATGCATTCATGTATAAGACGCACCATCAGGGCACATCGTTGTTGGGGAATCCCCAATAGGGGGTCGTATTTGGCCGCCAGGAGAGGGGGTCGTATTTGGGCTGGGAAAAATTTATTTTGATAGTTGATTTTTCTCGCTTCACGGACGTTGTAAAGGGGGTCGTACTTGTCATTGTTGGGAGGGGGGTCGTATTGTCTCGCGACTTTTCCTGTTTCACATGTGCTATTTACCCCCCCCCCCCCCTCCTCCTCCCGCATCGGCTCGATTGACGAGGAACAGAGGGCTGGAGGAGAGTCGAACCAACTCCCGAAAAAAGGGGAGGGGTCGTACATACTCGACTGAAGTCCCCAACCAGTGATGTGCCCTGCGCACCATCGCCTTTGACACCGCAAATGCTCCGCACACTGCCGTCAACTTGCTCGTAGTTCCATAAATACTTTGTTTAATGTCTCTAATTTATTTTGATGAAATTCTCAGATAATTAGTCGTATCGAATAAAAACTGTATGAAGACCGATTAGAAGATTAGACTATACTAAAAGTCGGGAAAACAGCTACCGCTGTGTTCAAAACCTCTTGCGCGCGCTCTGACCATCGTTGCTACGGCCTTGCAACTGAATGCACCTTATAGCCTGGCCTTTACTCACACGTGCTTCTATAGCTATTCGATTCTTTGTCCTGATACATTCAGGATTTGATAACATTTTAGTCGGTTTCTCCATTTCTACCTTGCGTTCAAACCGGTGGGCAAAAGTCGTGCCCCAGGCGGGAGTCGAACCCGCACCTCACGCTTTCCGGGCGAGTGCGCTATCCGTTACGCCACCAGGGCCGCTTTTACCCTCTCAGCTTAACGGCTTATGCCGTAACCTTACAGCACTCACACGTTTAACTTGGTGAGCCGGTCAGCCGTAATCGTTAGATATCGGCATGGAACCGCAAGGCCGAAGGCTTTACAAGTTTTTGAAGCTGTTTTGTTATGATAACTGCTGTTTAACGCCGCAGTACGCGTTCCGAATGTTATCACAAGAATGCTGAGTTGTGGGCGTGATATCGGGTTCGACTCCCGCCTGGGGCACGACTTTGCCCAATTATCATAACAAAATGGTGGCAATAAGGTCAAAGAACCACTCAGAATGTGAAAGTTCATCTAGCTCAGTGCAAGCTTTGGGCGTTTTTTTCCGCTTGGAGATGAAGATGATACGTAAAAGCTTCACAAACTGGAAAGGGTGTATATTTTCATAAACGTAGCTGATAGTTCTCACCGACTGAGCCATGGAAAAGTTTGAGCGTAGCACCCTGAAACCGCTTTCGTATAGGTCTGTCCTTCTCCAGAAAACCATCGGTGAGGGTTTTTCACAATCCTCTTAACAGTCTTGATCTTTTCGGTAGTTGGACACACCGAAAAAAAGTCAGGACCTTCTTTGAGTAGAAAATGCGAATGGTGCCATATTCGATTGGCTATAAAGCAGCGTTCAGACTTGTCGCGCTTCGATTGTCGCGCTGCAGTTGTCGTGCCTCAATTGTCGCGCTGCAGTTGTCGCACCTAATTGTTGCTGTCTATTAATTGAACACGCTACAATTACAAGCGCGCTCCAATTGTACCAGACCCCAGCTTCCCTTTATGTTCTTTCTTCCGGTATTCAACCCCTTTTTCACTGTTTCTCATTTCTACCTGATTCTTAGCTCCTCTTTTTCACTTTGACATTGAATTTTAATGTAGTTTTTGACGTTTTTGACGACGAGTTTCCTTGAAACGGTATACAAAATTCACAGTGCCCTGTATCAAAAACTACATTAAAATTCAATGTCAAAGTGAAAAAGAGGAGCGTGCTTGTAATTGCAGCGTGTTCAATTACAAGCGACAGCGACAACTGAAGCGCGACAATTGCAGCGCGACAAATCTGAACACTGCCTAACATTTCGCTGGGTTGCACGCGACAATGTGCGCGAAATGCTTTCAAACACAACAACCTTCTCTGTATTTTTTGCATAGGTTGAATTCCAAATGTTTTTCGAACATCTCTCATTGAATACAGACCATTAATACGAATAAGAATAAAGAAAAATCAAGGTAATGCCTTATATACGGGTGCGCATTGTACTCCAGAGAATAGGGTGATTGTTAAGAAAGAAGAACTATAGGTCATTCGACTTCAGAATTATTTCAAAGACGATTCTAACGATAAGGCATTGTTCACGTCTACGACCCTGACGAAAGGGCGGTTCGGTGAAAAGCAATAATATGCGTATCGACCAGAGAATCGCCAACCGCTTTGAAGGAACACCGTCGCGGTCCAGCGGAAAGCGACAGATGCGTATCGATTTTGCTGGCTTCATCCTAAAGGGAAACGCTAGGGCGGTCTAGCTAGCGTTTTTCGACCAACAGCCCATCGATACGTACCAAAAACTTTTTTCCGAAGCGCTTCTTCCGCGAGAAAACGCAGGTTAGCAGACTGCGAACAATGCCTAAGCTCCAGTATATGTTCTCTACATCTGCTACCAACTGTAAATGCGCTACAAATGCTGTTCATTGTTTCTTAGAGGATGGCGTACAGCTACGAGTTTTTGAAGGTGGAAACGGTGAGCGACTACGTGGTCAGTGTCAAGTTGAACCGACCGAAGCAGCTGAATGCCCTCAACTCAAAGATATGGAGGTGCGGCTAATTCTTAGTAAGGTTGTGCGCAAAATGTTGATTTCTAATCTTTTTATAAAAAGTTTGTTGGACTTCTAGAACAAAAGTGGGTGGCCAAATTTCCGCAGCTTTTCCTGAAGACCACTCCTTACTTAATGTCAATTTGTTATGAGCATTCAACGTGAAACGTTGCCGTATGAATGGAAATGACTATTATTTTTTAGTTTTTAATACACAGTTTTTTAATAATAATTAATTACGTACACTCCTTATCCCTGAGCCAGAGTAGGCGTGGCATTTGAACATGGCACGGAACTGGTTACTCGTGGAATATTCCAGTCTGGGACAACTGTCATCTTGTTCTGTGTTGGACAGAGACACGACAACAATTGTGTCAAGATGAAAATATCTCACCAGAAGCATAGACACCTTCAGGTTAAGTTGAACATGCGGCCACGCCTACCCGATCTCAGGGATTTCGAGTATAACTGTCCAAAGTGATTTCGAGTACAACTGTCCAAGTTAGCGGTCGATGGTCAATGACAATCATTTCACATTCAGCGAGATTGAACACGTTTTCGAAGCGCTGGACACAGATGAGAACTGTCGTGTGATAATACTCAGCGGAGAAGGGAAGGCATTCTCTTCAGGACTCGACATCAAAGGTGATATTTGCGTTCTCAATCCATGAAAATGTAAATGTGATGATGATAATCAAGTAGAATCTACAGAATTCTTGTGCACATTGGTGTCGCTCCTACAAATTGAGCCACACATATGTAATGACGTGAGCGTTGTCATCCCTGGTGAACAGCATGTAGCAGGTATTGACCAGGATACTATGAATTGCTATTGGGCCATAAATGTTAGGTGGTTGTATTTTGTGCTCGAGCTGCGAGATAACTTTGTACCAATCCACAGATTTGTTATCAAGGATCTAGAGCGATATGGCGACAGATACATCTCAAACTTCGGTGAATTCCAAGAGATTTTTTCCGCCTGCTAATGATAGTGACAATTCATAGCTTCTGCACCAGGGCACACTGTTGTAGGGGAATCCCCAGTAGGGGGGTATTTGGCCGCCAGGAGAGGGGGGGGTCGTATTTGGGCTGGGAAAATTTATTTTGATAGTTGATTTTTCTCGCTTCACGGACGTTGTAAAGGGGGGGGGTCGTACTTGGTCATTGTTGGGAGGGGAGATCGTATTTAAATTTGGCGTTGTAGGTGCCCCGCTCGACAGCTCGATTTGGTGAGGAGGAACAGAGAGCCGGAGCGGGGGGCGGGGAGGTCGTACCACCCC